CAGCTCACATGCATCACAAAGCGATAGACACACGTGCCCTTAGCACCATCCAAACCCACGCGGCCCCAGCACTGTCCCCAGACCCACCGCTGTCCTGAACATGGAATTGGTTATTGGTTCTATAACAATGGCCAAAGTGGCCCTGGATTCGATTTTTGACGTTTCAAAGCTTGTCTGTGCCGCGAGCGTGGCTGAAGTGGGTTTCCCAGCAGTTTATTTATCTGTGCTCTTGCTGTGGGACAGGATCTTCATTCTTGAATGTTCCCCGAGCTGATGTGCGAGAGCCACTCGGGCTCTGACCTGGGAGCAGGGAATTGCTGGGCGTGGGGGCTAACGGTCCGCTTTACAGACGCGCTCTTGTTCCGATTTAGACCCTCTCCAGGAGAACAAGCGGTTCCCGGGGGCTGCTCTTCCTGACGGTGCTTGGGACTGTGGGGACCGGTTTCTGCTGATCCCTTGGGTCTGTGAGGACGCCTCCAGCGAGGCATGAACCCCGATTGCTCGGCGGCCAGGCTCCTCGTCTGCCTCACTCGCCATTTGTCTGTCTGTCCATCCGTCTTCTGTGGACCACCGGGTCTTGACGTTGCTCAGTTTCTCCTGCTGTGTCCTTGGCGGTTTGCAGGTGCTCGTTAGCATCCTGAGTCATAACCCGCCGTGGCCTGCGTGTGAGCGGGTGGTGTAGGCTCGTCCCCTCCCGGGGTGGCCCGTGGATGGACGCGGCCTTACTTGACGGCGCTCGCACCTGCGCGTCCCTCCTTTTGTCTTGTGCCTTCTGTGTCCTCAGACACAGTAACCCCTTGGGTTACTCATCTTCTCCTGTCCTTTGTCCTAGGTGTTCTGTCATCCTGTTGCCCATGCTCAAGTCCTTATTTTCTGAGGGGCCCATCTGTGTGTGCTGTGAGGCGGGGTCTCAGTCGTTCAGTAGCTGAGTGAGTTCATCTCACCCTGGGCGCACTGCTGGGCCCTGGCCTTGCTGGGGTGTCTTTGAGTCCCTTTATTTCTGGCAGCTTTAACTGAGTTTAAAGGACACCCAGTTGGGCGGGGTTTTTTTTTTTTTAAAGATGACCGGTAAGGGGATCTTAACCCTTGACTTGGTGTTGTCAGCACCACGCTCTCCCAAGTGAGCCACAGGCCGGCCCTGTATTTTTAGACTTCCACGGGACGTGCTGGACAGAGGAGCTAGGATTGGCTCTGGTTTACCCCATCTGACCAGATCGGCCCCTCAGTTTTACGCGTCTGTCTCTGTGCCCCGGCCTGCCTGCCTCTGTCACTCCACACCCTTTTCCCTTCCTCTGCAAGGACAGCTGGGGAGGCAGAATGCCACACCCAGGGATGGTCAGGCCTGTGGATGTTTGGAGCTGGGATCTGCTGTGGGCCAGGCTTCCCCGCGAGAGCCAGGTGGGGTGGGTGGGCCGGACCAGGCAGTCGTCACCCCAGGCAGAGGTGGGTGGGTGCTCCCCAGGCACTCCTCAGGGCCAAGGAGCCTTCCCCTCCCAGGGCTGTGCCTCCCGCAGGCCCTGGGCCTGAAGCCTGAAGCGGTGGAGCAGAGGGGTGAAGGTTGGCCCTGACCCCACCCTGGCCTTGGGGCTCGCCTGGGTGTCTTCTGCAGCAGGAAATCTTTGGGGGTCACTGCGCAACCCTCGGTCCTCTACCAAACCCCAGGCCATGGTTTGGGCATCAGAAGCCACGTGCTGGGTCCTGCAGAGGGGCTGCATGGGCCGAGCCGACCGTCGGCCGTGCCGTCTCTGTTCTGCTGGGCTCCCACTCCCGGAGGGACCTGGACTTCGTGGTTTCTCACTGACTCTCCCATTCAAGGGGAGAGAAACAGGTTTTGCAATTGCTCTGACCTGATTTCGGCAGGTTCCAGCCAGACTTGGTAATTTGCTTGTTTTAAAAACATTCCATTACAGTTTCCACTTTAGCATGTTCATGCCACTTCCATTAGGCTCATGAAAGTCGCTTTTACTACAGAATTTTATAAAAGCACAAAGCTTCCCATTGTACATGATGTTTTTGGAGATTTTGTTTCCACGTGCATTTGTGTCAAAGCATTCTGGGACAGCAGACTGGGAGCAAGCGCTACGGTGTCAGCCCCGGCATTTGTAAAAGGAGGTGGTCTTCCCGGCGAGTTCCGAGTTTCTGGTAACTGGGATCCATGACACGTGCTCCGTGGGTCTGGCTTTCCGTCTGCATAAGCTGTGTCAGGCTGCGGGACGCTCGTGCCTCTTGCATCTGGCTGAGCAGCTGATGTCCGAGCAGTTCTGTGTTTTAGGCTGACCGTGGACTCCAGTGCGGCGCCAACTGTCTGTCCCTAGATGGTTTTGTGTAAATATCACAGCCCATTTTGAACCTGTCCCTGTGCGGAAAATAGGGTCTGGCTGTCATGGAGCTGCCCAGAGGCAAGGAAAGGAAAACAGGCAGAGGACGGCGGGGCTTGCCCTGGCCTGGGTGATTTTGGCCGTGGCCATCAGCGAGTGACTGTCCTCACGCAGACCCTGCCTGCCCTGTGGAGACGCCCTGTCTCCCCGGCTGTGGGACAGGGGCCTCCCGTGTCTGCACCCTCGCCTGTGCTGTCTCCAGCCGCTGCAGTCGTGACAGCGTGAGGCTCATGCAAGGGGAGGCATAGCTGGAGCCGCCGCTGGGGAAGCCATCGTTTCAGCTCTGGCTGCCTGTGGCCCTGGGGGCTGGCCGTGCTCCAGCCACCTGGACAGGAGTGGCCATCCCGGCTGTGCCTCGTGTGGGGGAGCAAGGCTCATGGGCCACGATGCTGTGTCTTTACACCTTCCTCATGTCCTTTCTAGAATCCATCTACCGCCGTGGAGCCAGAAGATGGAGGAAGCTGTACCGCGCCAACGGCCACCTCTTCCAAGCCAAGCGCTTTAACAGGGTGAGTGGCCCCTTGGGCCTGGCTCTGTCGCAGGGGCCTTTTACGTTGCTCTTACATGTGGAGAGAGCGGAGGCAGAGCGCTTCCTGCAGGACCCGGGCCTGGCTCTTCTCAGCACTCAGTGGCCGAGCCAGGCAGGGTGGCAGAGTGCTGAGCTCACGGTGTTCACTGCAGGACTTTCCCACACGGCGTCCGCTGTGTGGGTGCAGTCAGCATGTCGGTGTCCTGGGCCATCCCCAGTTACCTAATCCTTTATCAGCCCCATTGGCGCAGATGTCATGGTGTGCTGGCGCCCAGTATTGGGACTGCTGCATCAACAGGTGACACCAGGATGTGTGTTTTAGCTGCACGGTGTTTCCTACTGGCTGCAGGGGTCTCCCGTGGACCCCAGAAGCCCCATCTCTGCCTGGGCCTCTGTGCCAAAGGACACTTAACTTAGTTTCCCTTGTCCTTCTTTATGGTGCTTCTGTGTTCTCTAGGAATTTGGCAACTCTGGTGGCTTTGTAGCTGTTCCATTTCATGGTGGGAGGGGAGGTGCAGAAGCCTGCCGGCCTGTCCCTGCCACGGGCACTGCGCAGAGCCCCTGAAGCCCCTCCCTGCCACTGCCCGGTGAGCCCCTGGCTCGCCCGCATCTGTCCCCAGCATAGTGGGGACCCAAGCAGCTGCATTGCTGGTTAGTCCCAGCCCTGCCCCTTCCTCAGCCATAGTGCCACCCACTCTGTGCCTCAGTTTCCTCATCTGTGTAGGGGATGATGAAGCCACATGGAGGTGCTTGTTGGTGGGGCAGCGGCCACTGTCACTCCCACACAGACCTGCCACACAGCCTCACATATTAACCGCCACCGGGCATCAGGCCCCTCCTGTCTCCTCTGGAGTGGCCCCAGGTCAGCCCAGGCAAGGTGGCCACTGCCCCTCCTTTGAATCCTGTGGCCCGTCCTCTGGACCACCTGGGCGGTTATGTGTGGGGGTGGGCAGCTCCTCCCCCGCCCTTCCTGTGAGCTTGGTCCCAATCACCTGGTGAAAACATGGCTGGACCCCGCTCCGAGGAGGGGCATGCGGAGTGCTAGGCTCCTGGAGAGGGGCTGGGCACTGCCTGGAGAGCCCAGAGGACTTCCTGGGGGAGGAGGCATCTGATCGTACGCCTGGGAGGTCCGCACAGAGGAGTTGCTGGAGCACCCAGGATGTGACAGGCACAGGAGGGTCCCAGCAGTGTGTAGGAGGCCCTGAGGACGAGGTTGGGGCGTCAGGCAGCGAGAAGCCCCGGAAGGTCTCTGGGCTGTGTGCTTGGGAAAGGCAGGTGTGGGTGCACAGGGAGGGCAAGGCTGGAGGTGGCCACATCGGGGGCATCTATGGGCTGTGGTGCTGGGGACAGTCACAGCACAGAGTCTGTCACAAGCACAGCTCGTCGCTCCCTAATCCACACCGCAGGGGCACACCTACCTGCCCCACCTCACCGGCCGCCACCTCCTCAGACGTGCCGGAGCTGTCAGAACAAAGTACCACAAACCAGCAGCTTCACAAGAGAAGCCTACCCTGTCACAGTCCTGGAGGACAGAAGTCTGATATTAAAGGGTTGGCAGGGCCCGGCTCCCTCTGAAGGCTCCAGAGGAGAATCTTTCCCTACTTTGGCACGAAGCTGCATCATTCCCAATTTCCAGCTCTGTCTTCATGTGATGTTTTCTCTGTGTCATCTCTATTCTCCTTATAAGGACACAGTCATTGGAATAGGGCCGCTTACCCTTCTCCAGGATGACTTCATCTTAACTAATCACACCTGCAAAGACCCTCTTTCCGAATAAGGTCTCATCCACAGGTTCCAGGTGGACATGAATTTGGAGGGACACAGTTCAGTCCAGAACGGCAGCCCCTCCCATGCTCACCTCAGGGCCTTTGCACGTGCTCAGCTCTCTGCCCGGCCCACCCTTCCCCACGTCCTCGGAGCCCACGCTCTCCCTTACTTTCTATCTTGGCTCAAACATCCAGCAGCCCCTTCTCTGGACCCCTCACTCACGGAGGCTCCCAGCATTCCTACAGCTCTGCACATGACACCTCCCCATGTGCACAGCGCTCTGGGGATAGGACTCTGCCCTTTTGGAGCTGTGTCCTGTGCCTGGCACATAGTAGGTGCACCGTACACACTGGTCAATCCTTTATTATAATTAACAATTGGAGGAAAGCCCTGGGAGCTGTGCTCGGGGATTCAGGAAGGAAGAGGCATGTCCGCCAGGCAGGAGCTGGACTCTGGGAACCGAGGCAGACGCGGAGAACTGGAGAAGGTGACTCCTCTCAGCAAGACACCACGGGAGGTCTCTGAGTGCCACGTGCTGCTGTGGCACTGGGGCAGAGGCAGCAAGATGCAGGAACCATGGAGGCTTGTGGCGTTTCTGGGTCTGCCGACGGGGTGTGGATGTGAGATTTTGCAGTGAGCCAGCCAGACAGGGTGAAGGCCGGCTGCTGGGAGTGTGGGGACAGGGAAACGTCCCAGCCCCATGACGAGGCACCCACTAGCCACCCCCCACGTCTGTTTACAAAACAACCAACCAGCTCCACGGCCAGGAGGCTTCTCTTCCCATGAATCTGGGCCCTGGCTTGGTTCTTGGCCAGAGGGTATCTCGGGAAGAGCTAGTAGCCCGCCGACAAGATAGCAGAGAGAGGGTTCTGGAAGCCCTGGCCCCACACCGGCTCTCAGTGACACGCTTGTTTTCTTCATTTCTGGCCGACTAGTCCAGGACAAAGCCCACCCACCTGCGAGACAGCCAGGGCCCCGGGCAACATGGGGCCTGGCTTCTGCCTGTGCAGGTGTTAGGACAAACCCATTTCGCTGGTTACTTTGTGCCTGCCCCCCACTGCCCCCCCTGCCACCCCTCCCCCAGACCAGTGAGCAGGGGCAGCTGGGTGCATGCTGGGCTCCTCCCGTCCCCTCCCCAGAGCACAAGGAAGTGGCTTCCCACGGGTGCAGAGGCCGGGCAGGGAACCTGTCCAAGACCCATGACTCAATTGTTCACGGAGCGGGCAGCGGGGGCGCCAGTGCCACAGTCCACCACCTGCTCGCCCGCCGAGTTGTCCTTGGGTTATGAATCGCATTTCCTGGCTGTGACATTCTCGGCCCAGACCTTGGCGGCCGCTGTGTGCACCATTCACTTTGTGGGAGTTATAGGACCGTTCGGATCCCCTCCGCTGTTCACTTAGCGGGGGTGTTTCGAGAGCTACATACTTGGTTTTGTGGGAATCAGCAAGACTAAAAGGGGAAAAATCACCCACAGGGAGAGACAGTTTCCCGTGTTCTTTATTGCATAAAAGCGGGTGGGCGTCAGACGCTCAGGGACCGGCTCCCGCCCGGTGTTTATTTGCACTTGAAGTGACTTCCCTTTGACTCCCAGAACTAAGAGGCTCTGCTGAGTGAACCAAAGGGAGACAGCCCGTGAGAAGGAGATGAGGACCGCCCCTCCCCGGCAGAGGATGCTGCTGCGATGCTGGTCCCCAGGCCCCTGCACGTGGACAGGCGACGACAGGGAGTCCCAGCCCCGGGACAGACTCACCGGTTGGAGCCTGGCCCTGGGAACCGCAGGGGCCCAGCATCTGCTGCAAGGGGGAGGAGGGACCGTCCAGTGAACCATAGTGACAGGGGACTGGTTAGTTATGGCCCAGGAAGAGGGAAGGCGTCGGGGAGGGATCCAGGCCTTTTGCTCGCATCAAAGTAAGTTGCAAGTGGATTGAGGCTAAAAAAAGAAAAGAAAGCCACAAGCGGTGCAGGTCTGTGGAGAAAACCAGGTAGTGGTCGTGAGGACCGGTGGGGTCTTCAGACTCAGCCGTGCAGGCTTGCAGATTTCTGTAGTTTCCAAACAAATTAAATGGAAAAGAACAGTCAGGAAGAGTGTTTGCAGCAAGTAAAGCTGCAAGGAATAAGAGATCAAAGCAGTACGTGCGCCTGGTGTCTAAAGAGCCCCTACAAGCCAGCTTTCTGGTAAATGCTGAGACTGAAGCTGAGCAAGGATGTGGGTGGGTGATCACAGGAAAGCTGTCGTTGTTTACAAATGCGGACAACTCGACCCCGACAGGTGATCAGAGAAGCACGAGACCTTCCCCGTCCATGGCAGAGACGGTAGAAGTCACTAATGCCCATGTTGCTGTGCGTGGTGACGGGTCCACTCTCCCCCTGGGGACCCTACTTTCTGGAAAACACTTAGGAAACATGCAGCAATGACTCCGAAAGTTGCGTTCCTGCAGTCCTCTTCAACACATCTGCCCAAAAGAAATCATCCGTCCTTCAAAGGTTTGCGTGTGAGCAGGATCAGCTCCGCGTTCTCTTTACAGTAGCAGCGAGGCGGTGTCTGGAGTCAGTCATTCCCTGTGCAGCGAGCAAGCAGCCCCTCTGCTCAGGGCCTCCACGGCAGTAGTTTATGTCCCCCTGGCCCTATGGCTGCCGGGAGCCCTCTGCTGGGGACATGTGGGCCACTTGTGCTGAAGAGCCAGCTGGTGGATGGTCCAAGGACTTTGGCCTTATTGTGAGTGAACAGGAAGCCACATCACTCAGTCCATGTGGAAGACGACACTGTCGGAGTGACATTGGGGACTGGAGACCAGTTCGGAAGATGACCCCAGGAGGGACAACTCCCATCAAGTTTTCTCTTATGCTTTCCAATCCAAGCAACTAAACTGGTTCCCAAGCCTTTCCTGTAAAGGGCCAGAGTTAATATTTTAGGCTTCATGGGCCGTACATCTCTGTTGTGGCTACTCAACTCTGTCACATGGCTCAAGAGCAGCTACAGACAATGTCTGCAAATGGCTGTGGCTGTGCTCCAATAAACCTTTATTTACAAGAACAGGGGATGGGCTGGGTATCACCCACGGCTGTAGTTTTCCCACCTCTGGACTAGAAGATTGGAGTTGCCATTTGCTGAGATAATCAAGGCCCTGAAAGGAGCAAGTTGAGAGTCTACTATGAGACCCCCACCCCACCACTGGCATAAAATGGACCCAGCCATTGGCTCAATGGGCAGATTAGAAATGAGGCTGCCTCCCCAGGCACAGCCAAGTGTCTCCCTTCACCTTGGTATGGACAGGGGCAGGGGGCACTCTTCTTGAGAATTTGAAAACTCGAGCTGGGCCCCACACGTGCTAGTAGCCCAAACTCATACCCCCTAAGTGGGCCCAGCCCAGCAGTGCCCCCCAGTGTCTGGCAGGAGCAAACGCAGCCCCTCTTTAACCCAGCCTCAGAGGATTCCCACGGATCAACAGATGGGGCATCTGCACTCACAATCGAAAACCACAAAACCTAGTAGGAAGCAAGAGTGTCCTGAGCAGGTGCCAGCAAAAACCAGACAGAAGACTCAGACTGGTCAAGTATGAAATAAGTGTTTAATATGTTTAAAAACTAAAATGGATGATTGAAAATATGAGTAAGGAACCAGTTGACAGATGTAAGACAGACAAATATATTTTTACTGCATTAATCTATTAGTTCATGTGAATTTCTGAGAGGAGCAACCTGGGTTTTAGGTTTTGTTTTATTTTTTAATGGCACATTTTCCTGAATGTTAATAATGCAAGTGCAGATTTGAAATAGGGAGGCTTTGGCAATGTTTCAGCTGGCTCCCCTAAGAAGCAAGTGCCCAAGGTCTCTGTGTCCTTGGTGCTGGCACCTGGCAGATCCACACTACCACTGGTCAGCAGTTGTCCTGGCTTGAGGCTGGCCTGACCCCTGGTAAGGGTGTCCCCCTAAGGAAAGGAATCTCTGTTAATTTGTAAGGACACCTGGCGGTGTCCTAACACCTGCGAATACTAAATGGTGACTTAGAGAAAGCTGGACACATTTAGCACATTATATCAAAAACGTGACTTAAAAAAAAATGGTTCCATAAATGGTAGCTGGTGTTCTTCAGGGCTACAGACACAGGAGAATGGAGACGGGTCTGTGCAGTTGAAGCTCCGTCTTTGAATTCAGAATTCATGCATTCAGAAGGTGCTCTACTTGGGTGAAGATTCCAGCACTGGTATTGAACTAGACTGGTCTGAGTCAGAGGTCTCGGGTGGGGCACCCCCCTGGCCCACCCCCTGTTCAGCCCCATGGCCTTCCACTGCATTTCCAGCCCTTCCAGATAGAGCCTGCAATCCTTGTGTGGTTCCCTCAAGGGAGGGTTGATTTAGGCAATGTGAGAACTTGGAGTAAAGTCATTTTTTTTCCATTACCAAAGTTAAAAGCAGTGGCATGTATGTTTTCTTACCCTCAACAAGCATTTATTTATTGGGCACCCACTGTGTGCTGGGCACTGTCCTAGGTGCTGGTCGTACAGTCCTGACCACGACATACAAGCTGTGGGGTGGGGGCGGGGCCCCTGGCCAAGCCTTCTGAGCACAGCCCTTCCTGGTGACAAGTGGCTTCTCCGTGCCTGCTGGCCATGGGCGGGCATGTCCCACGAAGGCCAGGAACATTGGTCCTGCCTGCTCGGCTGCACTCCAGGCCCACAGGTTGTGAGGGTTCAATAGGTTTTTTTCAGTGAGTTCAGTTCAGGCTGTTCATCAGTACAGTGTATTCTTATTCTTAATTCAGGAGTAATTTGAGACTTTCTAAAAAGACAGAAACTTGTTAAAGGGTAGAAGAGGTCAAATACGTATCAAAGAATTACAACTGGAAAAAAATTCTAAATGGGGACCAGGGATCTGTCCACAGTGCGGACGCGCCGGTAACCGCGCATGTGGCCGCAAGTGCAGAGCCAGGCCCTGCAGACGCCCGTTCTTGTGCATCTCGTCAAGTTCAGAAATTCACGGAGCATCACCAGACAAGCTGACGATTATCATTAACTTCAGATTGTTTAGAGCCATGAAAAACAAAGATCATTTAAAATCTTGAAGAATACTGGGGCGGGGGGGGGGACTAGTGTGATTGCAAAGTGTCCTATAGAAGCTCACAGTTCTCAGGAGGTGGAGCGCCAGGCACAGTCATGTCCTCCAGGGCTGTCTCTTCTCAGCCTGGGCCACTGCACTAGACAGTCCCCCAGGGCTGCTCTACGCACAGCCTGCAGGAGCTGCCATCCCCAACCCCTGCAAGTGCAGGGGGCTGTGCCTCAGGCAGGCCTCATTCCCTGCCCCGCGTGGCCTCCCCTCCGCCCCCTCACACAGAGCAGGGTCCCGGGCCTCACTTGGAGCCACTGGTCCCCCCAGTGTTGGGATGGACCCATGAGGGTGCAGCAGAGCTGATGCAGGCCTGGTGCCCGGAAGTGATGAGGCTCCGGCCCCTGCCCAGCTCAGTGTCATCTTTTGAGACAGTCAGGAAAGTGCAGCGTGCCGAGTGCTCAGCGGGGTCCCTCTGTGCAGCGTGGGCTTCTTGAGAGCCCGGCCTGACTGTGGCGGTTCCCGTCCACAGAGAGCGTACTGCGGCCAGTGCAGCGAGAGGATATGGGGCCTGGCCAGGCAGGGCTACAGGTGCATCAACTGCAAACTGCTGGTCCATAAGCGCTGCCACGTCCTCGTCCCGCTGACCTGCAGAAGGCATATGGTGAGTGGGGCCGGGGTGCGCGGGCAGGGAGAGGGCCGGCCTCCAGCTCTTTGTCCAAGCCGAACCTGGTAACCCTCTGTCCTCCCTCTGTCAAGAGGTGGTGACACTGCTCCTGCCCCCAACCAGGCAAGAGGAGGGGCCTGTGGGCTCAAGATGATGGCATAATGGCCCAGGGCAGCAGTCTAGGATAGGGCCCTCTGCCCGAGCCCCCATGGGCCCCCCAGTGCTCTTGGTGGGGGGCAGGTAAAGGAAGGCTCCTTTTTACCCCAGTTGTAAAGCAGCTCTTGGGGGCTGCAGAGGTGAGAGCTGGGTCTGACCTGGTAGCTCCCGGTGCCCTGTGCCAGTCTGAACGTCCCCTCCAGGTGTGCTCTTAGGGCAGGGCCAGGGCAGCTCTTCCTTCTGCTGTCCCTGGATGTTTGGATGGGAAGGTTCCCGGCCCTGCGGCACATTGTCGACTGGCTTCCTCACCAAGTGTTCGGGTCACCACTGGCCTTTCCAGCTGGCCTGCTGTGTGCCGCTGAGCCATGGGGGCAGGAGCTGGACTGAACGTTTCATCCTCCAGTCTGGAGGGTCGGCTTGTGTGTGTCTTGCCATGGTGTGAGGAGGAAGGTCACCCCTTGGGACTGTCGTGCCCACCTCTCTCTTAAGAGAGGAGAATTCACTAGTTCCAATACGTAGTAGTTTCGGAGTGCAGGGATGTGAGGTGCCCATGCCAGCTGGTCCTGGGGGAATTGGTACGGTCTTTCTAGAGGTCTTTTCAGCCACATATGCAAAAATCTGTGTATGCACTTTGATCCCATGGGCCCACTGTAACCAGCCTTCCATGAGCTGTCTCAATTATGACATCNTTGTGTGTGTCTTGCCATGGTGTGAGGAGGAAGGTCACCTCTTGGGACTGTCGTGCCCACCTCTCTCTTAAGAGAGGAGAATCCACTAGTTCCAATACGTAGTAGTTTCGGAGTGCAGGGATGTGGGGTGCCCATGCCAGCTGGTCCTGGGGGAATTGGTACGGTCTTTCTAGAGGTCTTTTCAGCCACATATGCAAAAATCTGTGTATACACTTTGATCCCATGGGCCCACTGTAACCAGCCTTCCATGAGCTGTCTCAATTATGACATCAGCCAGATGGAACCCCGGTGCCCTTAGAATGGTGCTTGACAGCTGGGCACTGACTAGATGCAGGCCATGCAACCCCGTGCCGGGGGATTGCTAGGCATTAGGTGAGCCGTCCTGTTCTATGAAGCACCCGCCAGGTCACAGCCTAAGGCACCGAACGTAGCAATTATAATTTTATGTGGTACGCTACAATATACACATTTCAATGTGTACTCACAGTTGTGACGTGTCCGCAGAAGCCACATTGTGACTCCTGCCCCATCACCCTGTGACGCCGGTGTCTCTCTGGCAGGATTCTGTCATGCCTTCCCAAGAACCTCCGGTAGACGGCAAAAATGACGACGTGGACCTTCCTTCTGAGGACACTGATGGAAGTAGGTGCTTTCTTCCCGCTGTCAGAGCCCCAGCTTCTTCCCTGTCCATGTGCCTTTTGCTCTCCAGGGGCCACTGTCAGCCAGCGTGGCCGCCTTCCTCAGGCCAGGCCTCCCCCTCAGTCCTGACAGATGGGCAGGGCAGGGAGACCTTCCCTGGTGGCCACTGGGCAGCATTGTCTCTGTGAAGCGCTGTCCCAGGAGCCAGGGGATGGGGGTTCCCTCCCTCTGTGCCAATGTCACAAGTTCTAGAAAGCACCTAGTGCAGTGTGCACCTTGGCAGGTGCCTCCCACACACTAGGTGCTGCACAGAGAAAGCCCATCTGGGTTGCTGCTGTGCACGTGGCATGGCAGCTCATGGCCCTTGGGTTTTTGTGGGTTTTTTTTATGGGGGGGCTTTATTAAGTGGTAAGAAGCATTCAGAGAGAGATTTCAAATGCCAGTTGGACTGATGGCCCCGCATTGAGCTTCCACAGCTCTGTGGGTGGGCGTGGGAGAGCTCTGGCTCTCACCCGATAAATGCGAGTTCTGTCTCCTGGGGAGCTCTTGAAGGATGAAACAAGACCACAGGGCATGAAGCACTTAGTGCAGCACCTTATGCAAGAGAGATGCCTGACAAACAGCTGCCTGGCCACCCACTCACCTGTCATCAACCCCCGACTCCCCCACCCATACACCTGTCATCCATCATCCACCCATCCGTCCACCTATCATCCATGCACCCGTCATCCACCCATCCACCCACCCATCCACTCATCCATAATCCATTCATCCATCTATCCACCATCCAATCATCCATCATCTGCCCACCATCCACCATCCATCCATCCATCATCCATGCATCCACCATCCGTGCATCCA